CTGAGCCTGGTGCAGTTCACTGAGCAGATGGAAGGCAGGAAACCTTACACCTGTCTAATGGGATTCTCATGTTCCCCAATGCACAGCAGGAAGTGCTGCACGCATGGGACTCCCCTAGACACACACACACACACACACACAGACACACACACACACACACAAACAATTCGCAAAAAATGAGATGTTACTGCGCAAACCTACTACTGTAGGATAGTGAAGCTAGCTGGGAACATCCTACATCTTCCCAGCTAGGAACACATAGAAGCACTGAAGGATACAGGGCAAAATGGGCCACAGAGATAACCACACCTTGGTCCCCACATGGAGCTCCTCCCAGCATGCCACATGCCAGGTGAACACAGGAGCCCCTGTAGGTAACACATACACATACACATACACATACACATACACATACACATACACACCAATGCAGGCTGGTGTGAGCCCTGAAAACCACCCAGCCACAGCAGCACCTCCTCCCAGCACAGAGCTATTTCTGCTATCTTATGTTGGGCTGACATACAAAGTGCAGATGGACCCTACCTGAGCCAGGATACGAGGTCTTTCCAGGGAGCTGCTCAGCCCACAAAACCTTATACTGCACCGCCTGCCTCTGAGGCACTGTGCAAGGATTGTCCTTGTGCACTTCCTCAGACAACACAAACCCAAAATTCATGGCTGTGAGTGCCGCAAAGATGAGATATACAAATGCCTAAGGCATGCTGAGTAGCAGAACATACCTCTCCATGGGCATGTTTCATGGTGCCTCAATTATATTAGTTAGCATCCTCTCTAGCACACTAGGGTAGCAAAAGTTCAGCGTATCCATCAGGGAGATGCATACAGTTATTACAAAGGAGTTTTATATTAATAGAGGCAAATTTGTGTTTCACACTATGCTACAGCATAGGACCTCTCAGCAAATGCCTTTACCTCAGCCCTTTTCTTCACATGCATTCAAATCTCCATTGAAGTTCTGCATGTCTGTACATGTATAAGCTGACCATCACCAAGAGGACACAGGGAATCATCAAAATGCTTACAAAATACTAAACAAACCAAAACACTTATCCTGAAAGAGCCAAACATATTCTATTCCAAGGAGAATCTCCATGCAATCCTGCAATATTGTCTTATGAAAAATGAGTCATGTCTGAATACATCATGTAGGAAAGCTCCATGAACCAAGGACCCATCTATTCAGATATGGGTATCCGCTCAGGCTATGTAATTTTTCCATCCTATCTGTATAGCACAAGCAAAACAGGCATAAAAAAAAAGCAAAGTGGGATGTGTAAAGCAATGTGGAGACAAGTAAATTGCTCTCTGAGCAACAACTGGGCTCCAGTGAATTGCTCAGTGTAGCCTGGTAACTAAGAGCAGCACCAGAATCAAAGTGTAACACACCTCTGCCTACTCAAAAATGATCCCCAAGACCACAAAAACAGATATAAAATGTGGCTCTCCTGTCCAACTGAAAGCATTCAGTCAGCAGTTTCTAGAACAGTTATCCATCTAACATCTGCTTATTCTTACAGTTGTTGTCATGGCTCAGAGGGAAGCTGGAATGCTGCTCAAACCTAATGTTTTCCCAAGTGACAAATAGCAAAATGGTACTAAAGATTAGGCAGCAAAACAAACAAAAAAAAAAAACAACATAGAAACCTGGGATGCAGAAGACAGAAATGGTTCCACAATTCAGTGCTATTACAAAGTCCACCCCATTTCTTCTCCTAATACAGTGAATGGCATCAGAGAAAAGACAACACTGCTCTGGCTGTTGTGCTGGAGATAACAAACAACGACCCTGAAGGGTAGCAGCACTACTAGTCTGTAGGATGCATGGCAGAAGTGACTACTGTGACCATGCAGCTTTTCTTCCTGTGCAACAAAAGGGCTGTACAACTTTATGAATGAGTTATTGTTTGACCTATTATCTGCCTGTTTGCCACACACATTATCCTGGACAAGCAACGACCAGTGATAGAAGATCCCACAGAGTCTTTAGGTAAATTGTTTTAGCAATGAATTTGTCTCACTATTGAATTTTTTTTTTTGTTTTGTATTTCTCCAACTTCAATACCAAACACTTTGCTGCTTTCACCTTTTCAGCTGGAGGAGCCTGTAATAGCTATGTAGCTATTACACTTGGTGAGCAAGTTACCAGTCAGTTTTCATCTTGCAAAGTAAGACTGAGATCTGTGGTTTCAGGACTACAACTACTGAAGAGTGTTCAAACTCTCCAGTTTATAAATTTTCTTTCCTGAAAAGCAGATGTCATAAACCTGTGTTTCTGTCTGAACTACATTCACTTTTATGTAAGAAATCACATATGCGTGCTGATCAAAGCGTATCTCAAATATACTTGGTGATAATGGAACCAACAGATTGAGTCTGAAAACTACCAGAAGCACCAACAACTCAAAGAAGTATGAACACAACCTAGTTCTGTATCAGAATCTGGTCCCTCTTAGGGGAACACATGAAGATCTCCTCAAAGCTTTCAACAGAGCCTTTCTCCTGTAAGGACCCAAAATCTGTGACTTCACAGTTTCTTTTCTTTTTTTCTTTTTTTTCGTTTTTTGTTTTTAATTTTTTTTTTTATTATTTTTTTTTTTTTTTTTAATATCCATCATCTTTCTCCAGGGAACACTTCAGCAATGAGTAATCAGGCTGCCTGCAGGGTTTCTGCCAGGCTGTGTGAGCTCGTCATTCCTGCAGCAGCAACATCGGACAAGCTGCGATCGCTGAGATTGGGTTTTAGATTCATTTAGCAGATTTGAAACTAATCTGCTCTCCTCTAAAGCCTGAGCTCAGCCTAGTACAGAAAAAGGAAAGATCTATCTAACAAGCATGATGGCATGGCAGGGGATCCAGCAGAAGTGCCCCCTCTATCACAGAAAGTGAAATGGAAAAATAAATTAAAATGAAGCAGGATAACCTTGTTTATACAGATACACAGGCAGTAATACACGCAATAGTCAAAGTAAGTTAGATGCATGGTCTGGGCACCTCTCACAGAAAACAGCTGAGGTGGTCTCATCCTGTTTAACCACTGTGATGATAGTTCTACAACATCTTCCTCACCAAGCCTGACCACTCCATCATACATGCAGGCTTGAGTGCACCCATCCACACAAACCCTGAGCACATCTACCTGCACCCAGAGACGCTAATTCCACTAACTGCCACTCAGTACTATCACTGGTTACAGACATTCCCCAGGGCCTGGAGCAGACATTATTTCCATTACCACAGACCAATCGCTCCAGGCAAAGATCTGCAAGCAGCCTTCCTGGCATATAGCACAGCCCTTTCAATACCTGAGAATGTGCCAAAAAAAACTGGGAGACTACAAGCAAGGTCTCAGGATTCCCACTGAATTCCTAGTATGGCCACAAGAAGCCGGAAAATGGATCCAAAGTGAAAGCCCACAATGCAGAACGTCATGAGCTCAGAAGAAGGGGACAAACTCCATTCTCCTCTGAAAGGACACGTGGTCATGTGCTTTCATTGCTCGTTGCTGACAGAGAGCCAAAGTGCTAGCATGGGTAACAGCCAAATAAATTCTTCAAGAGCCTTTTTTTACCTTAATGGTAAAAAAGCTACAGCATTAAGGTTCAGAGGAAAAGCAGGAATTTAGAAGTCTCCACCCAGTTTTGTCAGAGCTTCACACAGGACGGTGGTAAATAGCTTCGTCCTGAACAGCAGGCTATACTTTGCTTAAAAAGGATTTTTGTTCTACTCAAAGTACTTTGACTTGCTGAAATCTACTGCATTTACTTATGAAGGCAGAACTACACTGTTTTCTGTGTTTTAAACTGCTACATCTCACAGGCTAGGACTTTTCACTTAGCAACCTCCACTTCTTCTAGAGAGTAGATCTGGGAGCAGGGGTGAGCTGATTTAATAGCAGCTACACAGCCTCCGCACACAAGGGAGAGTGTCTGCATCTGGTTGAAGGGGACACAACATACTCTCTGCTACGAAGTGTGATTTCGCTAAGCATGGCATGAAATCTGGTGTCCTGAAGCTCTGTCACATTACAGTCTATGTCTGGAGAGGAATGATAGGATGTCTACTGAGCACTGTTAACTACAGAATCAATTGCTGTGCTTTCAAGCCATTAGCAAAGTCTTGGCTCACAGACTTGGATGAGCTGGCAGCTCAGCCCTATGTTGAATTAGTGTGATACAAAAGGAGCTATTAGGATCTGTCTTTTACATTTCCCAAAACATACAGTATAGCTGCTTGCACCTCTTCTTACTTGAACAAACCCTTCCTTACCAGCAGCATCCTCACATTCTTTCTTTTCTGTTCCAGAGAAGGAATTATTTTGGGATTGCCACTTCATTTTTTATTTCCCCCATGGAAACAAAAATAGGATTACTCTCGTTTCCATCCCTCACACACATTCCAGTTTCCAACAAGAACAGAGCTGCTTCCCTTCCATTGTGCATGAAACTCTCCACACCCAAAATTTCCAAGGCAGAATTGCCAGTGGGTCCTGGGATGTTTCAGCCTGTTCCTGTCCAAGCTCTTCTCTGCCACTGTCAGTGGCACACACTGCAATGAGCAGTCACAGCAACCAGAGGCAACCTGGTGTTACATGAGAAGGAATTCCAAGGGGACTGGTTATGTGAACAGAGAGAACTCAGCACGAACAGGTTCTACCCCTGGGCACATCTCCCTTTTGTCTAGTGTATTTCCAAACATCATGAGAGCTTTCTGTAGGCCATTTCAGAAGTATAAATTCAGCTCTTGCTTCCACTGTAAGGTTTGGGGCTCAGAGTTTAAGATCCATTTGTTGGATGCATTTATTTGCCTCACATCTAAGACCACTCTTTCTGGACGGCAGCACCCAGTAGACAATGCAGAAATGAAAGTACACATTCAATACAGCATGTTCTTATATACAGAGGAAAAGGATAACATGGGGAAGTAAGAGCAAAGTGAAAAAAACCTCACATTTATTCAAGTCTGTTAACTCTGTGTCTTACCTTCCTATGGGTCCCAGATCCCCTGAGTCCTGGCTGCCTGCGTCACTGGGTGTGCTCACTGATTTCGAAGAGGGAGACATAGGGGTTGGGACTAAATAATGAAAATAACAGGTATCCCATGTTAACACATGCAGCGACTGCACTGATGAAGAGCAGTGTCAGACAAATCAAAACCAATGGACCAAAATGATAGTGGATGAATGAGTAGGAGAGTTTGAAATGGTGAAAGCAAATAAGGAAGGAAAGAAAAAGAAAAGGAAGAGAGTCAAGTGAATTTTAAGTCTTCTGGAAGTGTTAAAACTGACATGTATCTAGACAGGACTGAAAGCCCAATGGAAATCTACAGCTAATCAATGAAGAAGATACCTGTAGAAATAAAATAGTACTTGTTTTCTTGAGTCTGGTTTGAAGTTGCTTGGCAAAAGATTTTAAAGGTATGAAGAAGTATCAGGGGCTTGTCTTGTCAAAAATCTAAGTGAACTCTTCTGGTAAAGTCACATAGGCAACAAGCATACTTTTCAAATTCTGAATTTAAATCAAAAGCCAGTGTCCATTAGATATGCTCTAAGGCTGCAGTGTGGAAATGACATCAAAAATAAAAGCTAAATAAGGAAATCAGCTAAGTTAAAATCATTTCCCAAAGATGCTGAGAATTCACAGTTCACTTGGCAATTGTTTTCTTAAGTAATGCAGGTCATAAAAAATTTCGATTTTGGGTGGGACATGATTTCAACATTCAAGGAAAAGTTCCCTTGGTTTAGACACTATTTGCCCAAGCTCTTGAAATTATTTTCTCTTTGTCTTGCCAGAGTTTTTGAAGCATATTTCATGCAAAGGCAGTTTTGTTTCCTGAAACAGGAAAGGAAGTTCATAGCTCAAGGTCAGCCCAAGTTAAAGCTCTTCAACAAAGAAATAATAAATAAAAGAGCAAAAATATCCTGATTTCTTTTAAAATGGTTTCTCAAAAATATTAAAAATTAAGAGATAGCTCCAGTCAAGATTTAAAGCAAGTATTCTTTAAAGCAGCCACGTTGAATAAAACACAAAAAGAGGGCTTAACGCAAAAGCAAAGTTTCCATTTGGTTTAAATCATGTGCATTTCTTTTTATAGATTTAACAGAGTAAAACTTTAAAATACTTTGTTATGCTTTACAATGTATAATGACAGACCTGTCAAGAGATTTGAATTTTCCATATGGTCAAGCATTTAATACAGATTCTCCCTAGAGACTGTCACAGAAATGACTGCAGCGTGAAAAGTGAATTCATCTTCGTGACAGCCCTTTGGCAGGTTACAGGTATGTCTGGTTGTTTACATATTCCATATTCAGAGTAGACCTGGCATCATGTGAAGGTGGAATTAAATCCTCCTTCTATAATAATTGTGAGTGTATGTAAGGGGAACAAAAGAGAACAAAATACTATTTTTAACTAAATAATCTTACACGTGAATTTACGAGTTCTTTTGACAGGATCAAACAGAAAAAAATTAACTAAGATAAAAACTGATAATTTGCAACATGAATATATGTGTTTGGTCAATAAAATGATAAGGACATATATACTCATTCTCACATAAAAATGAGTACTTTTAATGCTATACATTAAAAAGATATATGATTTTATCTTGGACCTTACTTTTGTATCATGATATAATTTAAAAAACATATTTTATTATACATAAAAATAACCTAACCATTACTTGTCAGACAATTCTTCTGAGAAGTGGTGTCTAAAAGCTTCAGTCACTCTATCACAACCTATAAAAATAGTAACTTTTCTCAATACATGTTGGTTGATGCAAGTAATTAATTCAAATTCCAATTCAGAATGTCACTACCTACTTGCATATGCACCCAGGCATCTGTAGAAGCTGCTTTCCTAAACCAAAACTTCAACATTTTGTCAAATTTGAAGTTTCTCCTATATATTACTGGCAAAAATAACCAGGGGTAAAATTCTAGATTCAGTCACAATGAACTTAATGAAAGGGCTTGATAGCTCCAGAAAGGCCAAGGTTTCAGCTAAAACAGCGAGAGTGATCCCAAATTTGAGGGAGAGGGGGAAGGGGAAGGGGAAGGGGAAGGAGAAGGGGAAGGGGAAATGGAAGGAAATTTCTCACTTTAGGACCACTCCATAAATGAGGCAGATCTTAATCAAGGTAATCCATACTCAGATACTGTATGTGTTTTTAAACTGAAGCCTTCAGGTTCTATAACTAAAATATCAAAACAAAAAAAAAGATGTCAAGCAGAAGAAACCAGAGCAAAAATGTACAATAGTGACTGTTTGTGAAAACACAAAAGTGTTTTTCTATTTGTGATTTTTGCTTCTTTTTTTAAATTTTGCTTCTCCAGTTTTTCTTAATTTTAAAAGAAACACAGTGGGAGTTCCCACATAACTATGCTCCTCCTTCCTTACAAATGCTTAATTTGAATTTTTGAATCAAAACTTGGGGCTAAGGAAGTTAGCACTTATATTTTTGAGTGAGAAGACAAAACAGTCCATCAGAAAAGAAATCACTGCTGGTATGCAAAACCAACCTGCATTATGTTCATAAAAAATTCCTGAAGAAATGAAACAGATGTTTTTGGCAATGACAAGTACTCAAAATGCCATGAGCTTGTATACGTGAATGGTATGGCAGGCATTCAAACAGAAGAGTTCACTTCACTAATACAGCCAAAAATAAAAAAAGCCAAGCATGCTTTAGTAGAAAGAAAGCATTAGTTGTGGCAGAGCTGAATGCTTTACAGTGTGCTTCTCTTAAATACCTAGAGGTGGTTCTGGGGATATACCAATGCTCTGTAACAAAGCCTCTGTCTCTCTTCTTTTACGGTCTAGGTCAGAATCTTCCTGAGCTGGCTCCTTCTTCTGCTGTAGATCAGCCTGAGTTAAACCACAAGAGAACAGAAAAGTTTATTTCATATGTAATCAGCTCTAGCAATTCTACGTGTGGAAATATTTGTAAGCACTATTGCTTAGGTACAATTTGAAATTCATTTTGACACTTTTAGGTAATTTGTAACTTAGATAATTTATACTGTATATATCAGCAACAATATTTTTCCCTAAATGGATGGTAAAACTGGTTTTTGCAAGGATATTTGCAAGAATTTTTACTGGACAATGATGGAAATTTTCTGCCTCTTACTGAGGAGGTGCAACATATTCAACTAACATAAAAGCTGACCATAGAACAACAAGTATCATTACCCTGAATAGAACTGGCCCCTTTCCTACTTACTTCAGAATCAAGAAAAAAATTTCATTGCATTTCAGTGATGTAGCTTAAGGTCCTACATTTGGTCCCAAGCACTTGTTGGGAAAAGAAATACTTGCTCATTAATTTCAATATCCAAAAGGTGCAAAGGAAAGAACTGACATCTCTAAACTAGGACTTTGGCAGCCCTGGGCTCACTAAAGGCCCAAAAGACCCTTCCCTCTCTGTTTAGCTATCTCTACATCCTTGGAGCTTCCATATATTAGTCTTCCCCCACTCTGATCTGTGGGTATCTAAAAACAGCAGGACCACCTGCATTAGCCGGAATCCCACAACGAGGTTGCCCTTTCTACTGAAACCAGAGTGTTGGAAAAGAGGACTTGTGCAGCTCCTCAGACTGGTGTTGATCTTGGTGCAGGCACAACAGAAAACCTGGAAATTCAGAATATTTGTGTTCTCCAGTTCGGAAACAGCCAGGAAGCAGTGATTTTATAGTCAAGGCCCAGGCATACTCCTGTGCTCAGCTCTTCCCATGAACTATCTCACAGTATGTAGGGTTGTAGACAGCTCTCCTGCACCAGTGAGAATGACCAAGCACCTTTGTGAGTGTCAGCCTTCACTACTGGAGCCATCTGGCACCACAGCACAGCCCATTTACACAATTATGCATGGCAGCATTATCTGCAGACATGGCTCTCGGGGCCAATGGAAAGTTTCAACCACCACAAGTTCTCCACCAGGCACAAAGTCAGAGTCAGGGGACAAAGAGAAAGGACCTAACAGCTCCCTTCAGCCATTATCTTGGCTCCTCTCCCTCTAGTTCTTTAGTAATGAACACTGAAAGCACAACCATTTAAAGATCTGCTTGTGGAGGACTTCCCCAGTGAGTCCGGGAGCCCCACTGGGTGTGTGCTCTAACTGCACAAATGTGGCTCAAATGAAAAAAGATTAAAAAGACAGCCAAAACTGGAATGCTGACTTCTTGGATCACGTCACATTTCCACGGTAATTCCATGAAATTCATGTACAATATTAAAGTGTCAGTTTAAAAGGAAACCAGTTATTAGTAAAGGATAACAGGTGCTTTAAACTACAGTAAGTGTTGACATTTGAAGGAAAGGAAGCATAATCACTTAATGCTTCTCTGACTTTGCATGAAAATGAATATCCACTCCCTGTCAATTCTCACCTCTATTCCACTAAGTGACTGAATAAAAAGAAGTACAAATCCCTTAATGATAAACCTAATGCATATTGTCAAGGACAAATAAACTAATATGTCAATCAAACTTTAACAGAACTGAAAGATGCACCCATGCCAGAAGATGAAAATGCAATTGCAATTATGTTTTACTTTACTGGAGAATAATAATTGTAAATCTGTTACCTTAGCTAGTAATCAAACTAGTCTTCAGAGTACAAAAATACATATTTAGATTGTAATGGCTTGAAAAAATGTGAGTCCTCTTTCTGTCTTTCCCCACTCTCCACTCCCTTTCCATTGAAGGAGAGCCCAGGAAAAAGCATTGTGGCAAATCAATTTTTCTTTCTCCATACACATGCACATCATGTTGTCTAAACTGTTGTCATTTGACAGTGCCGTGGTTTTAAAAGCAATTTCCTCACCCCAATATTCTTGACTAAAAATAAGCTTTTTGATTTTCAGGTTAGTCTGATGTGGGTTTGAGTCTCTCATTCCACATGACAGATACCTTGGGGCATACAATACTGAGATGTCAACACCTCAGCAAGCCCCCTGTGCAAGCATAAGCCATCTAAAAGATGGTTTTGCAAATTTACCTCTTTTTTCTTCCTTTCTTCCTCCTTCCGTTTCTTTTCTTCTCTTATCTGAGCCAAACGTTGTTTTTTGCGCTCAAGTTCTGCTTTTAAATCACTTTTGTCTGACATTTTGACTCTGCTGGAAACAAAAATATGGAAATCGAGGTGAAAATTGAATGATTACCCTATTTACTGAAAAAAAAAAGATAGTTAATTATATCAAAATGAGGGCTTCTAAAATTGCAACAAATATATTTCCATATAAACACTGGTCCTTGGACTGTACTGACATTGTAGGAAGTGGAATATTTTCTTCGCAATTTTCATTTCAAGAAACCAGACCACAATATCACCAAATGTGGAATATATTTTCAGACTGCCTCTACTACAAAATTACCTTTGTGAAGCAAACCTATTGCTGTTCAAAATAATGCTTTAATGCTTTCAAACTGAAGATAAATTCTTTTGATTTCCACGATCTTCAGCAGCTCTGCCAGAGTGTAGATCTCAGATCCACAAATAGATTCCAAGTACCAGAACCAGAGCTGCCCCAAACAGCCCCATACTTCTTAGACAAGTAATAATTTTACTTCCAAAAAATGGAAACAAGAGAGCTTTTGCTTATGCAGGTGCTTTGTACAGCTGCCAGGCAGGATCCCCTGTCCCACCAAGACAGTCCCACACAGACCATCAGTTCAATCTCAGTTTCCTTTTCACATTCACCCCTCCAGCGAGCACTCTCACCAAGCTCTGAGCTGTCCTACCCAGGAATTTCTTCCACCCTTTCCAGGGAAAGTTGGGCCATTCCCCCAAGAAGCTGCAGACAAGGCACAAAACCCCAGCAAATCAATGTTTCTCTTTAATGAAGCAGCACATTGCTCTGCCAACAGTCTTGTGCTCAGATCATCTTTCCAAGAGGCAGGAGACATGCCTAACACTCCTGATTTGATGCCAACCACACAAACTTGGCAAAAACATTTCTTCTGAAATACTGAAAGACCTCTTCCACCATTTAAACCCACTTTTCTTTAGAATAGAGATGTGAAGCCTCAAATACTCTTTTAAACCTCTGTTAGCCTATAATGATGTACATGAGACTTGAAAATAAAGGGTAAGGAAATAAAAAGTCATTCCATACAGATACAGAGCCAGATCTTTAAAGAAAATATATTAATGTTTTTCTACAGTTGTAAAACCCCACCACCATTGCACAAATCCATAACTTAAGTCACAGATTATTTATTGATTTTCTAACATTATAATCATTATGAACTGTAATCTAACTGTGTCAATACTGATTTTCTTACTAGGACTTTGTTTCAAGGACAGTTCTGACTAATATAGACATTCATGAAAAGAGCTAACTGTGCCTTTCCTGTTCACACATCACCGACCATATCCTCTGCTGCAACTCCAGATCAATCAGATCAATGGCAGTGCCATGTACACGCAATGGAAGTCTATTGTTCACTCGATGCATGGGAAATTTGAATGTCAGCTCTCCCTTAGCATAATGAGAACTCTACTCATATTACTGCCTGGATGGGTGGATGACCAAGAGAGTAAACTTATCTGCTAAAAATTACATGGCACTTTCACCCATCATGAATTTCACTGCAGACATCAGCTTCCTCCTCAAAATGATAAAAGCCTGATAGTTAGCATGGGACATGGAGGATATTGCCAACAAAACACCACCTGCACATTAAGCACAATCTTGGCCCCAAATGCTTTGTTGTCTTCGCAAGCATTTTCCTTAAAGGAAAGAATAAAATCACATTTGGAATCAGACAAGGAAACCATTTAATGAAAAGGGCAGACACAAGAGCAGCTCAAACTGCAGCTCACACTGCCACAGATTCTGCACTTCAGCAGAGCTGCCCATGCTGGCAAGGCACCCTTTCAAGGCCAGGGGACTCTGGTTCCATCCACAACAGCTGCCAGTAAATGGTATAGCTACAAAGGACAGCTGCCAACTAATGGGATCACTGGATACACTGGCTGCATGTGGAGGACCACCATTTCTTTATTCCTCTATCACTCTCATCCTATCCATAGTGGTTTTGCTATCAATTGGAGAAAATGAAAACTGTTAGAAAAAAAAAATTGCATTTGCTATCAGGAAAAGTAAGCAGTAGCACCTTAAACAACACTAATCTGTGGGATCAGCTGATATCAGTGAGCTATTTTTCACATGAGAAATGCCCAGAGGAAAAAAAAAAACCAACAAGCATTTTAATGGCAGAGCAGGTAATGTTTTGCCTACCAATCTGTTCAGGATTTCTATGTCTCTTTTAGATATGGCTGAAATCCCATTTGAAGACATTTTCCTAATCTGTTGCACCCATTTGAATTCTGATTATGAAGTTACCCCTCAGAGCCCCTTGGACTAGATAGAGTTTTTGCACCCTTTTAGTTCTGCAACAGAGAGAGAGCTCCCATTTCCATGCAAAAAATATGCAAATGCATTTTAAGGCTACTGACAGAAACCCTGAGGGTTTGGCATCCCTTTCAAGCTGTTTGTCAGATATCAATGAATGGCTTTCTAAAAATTCATTCCCTTAATGTCAGGGAAGCTAACTAGCTTTTCTCCTGATTTGAGCATCAATGGTTTAGTGCCTGGCCCCTCTTTTACAAGGCTCCAGTCAGGGTGATCAAATCCTATTATAACTTTGCTCTATTTTTAACAAAATAGATCTTACATACAACAAAGACGATGTATTAAATTTCCTTCAAAGAATGCTGCCAGAGCTCAGTTATAGACTTTCATCCTGAATATATTACTGTCATGCCTGAGCCCCCCAGACAGCTTACCAACCTGCAGACTGGCTATTTACAATTTTAGCACAAACTGAACACCAAGGGTGTGTAACCACCTTTCTTAGATGCCAGCAAGCTCGTAGCAAGCAAGGAGGCAAATGTACTTATCACTCTGCTTGGCATTAACCATGGAGTTAACACACTTCATTCCTGGGAGCAAATTTCTAAGAAGTGCCATTCTGAGTGCCAAAAGGCATGCCACACCAAGAGAGATAAAGGCAAACAGTAAAAGAGATTTACTTTTAACATTCTCTGTGGTGCAGAATGACAGCCCAAGGCTTATGCACAACCTAATCTCCAGCCTGGGAGAATGCACTGGTCAGAGGAATCACTAAGGAGCACATTTTGTACTGAAGCAATTAAATCCCCTGTGTGGGAGAAGGAACACATAGGAACAAACACACTGAACACTGAGTAAGTGTAGAAATAATTATCATAGCAGGGCAGCAGCCTGGGGCTCCCCTGTTTAAGGGAGATCCATAATCTCAGATCTTAGACCAATTTTTATTTGTTTGACCCAGTTTATTGTCATGGTTTTAAAAGGGGAGAGAGTCCTCCCACTGCAGAAGAGCTTACCACACATGCTAGCACAGGTTCTTGTTATCAGGATGCACAGAGCATCTGCCTGAACTCCCAGTACTTGGAGAAAATTCTCCTTCCTTTGAGATACTGAAGAAAGGAATTGCCTCCTCATGGCATACCTTTTGATAAAATGGAGTGCTCCATTTCAAGATGTCAGTTTTCCCCATGGCATTAAACATGCCTCAGAGTCCCCTCTTAGGCTTGGAAACACAGTTAATTCCACTTACACCCCAGAGCCAGCATGATGGCAGCTACCCAGGCCTGTGCACGTGCAGCACTGGCTCCCAGGGACTTCACCACCTTCTGGCTCAGCTCACAGCATCCTGGATGCCCACAGTGTACAGGCAGAGCTATCCCTACCATCAGTACAGGTAAAATCAAAAGAGTCTCGGTATCCTAGGACATGATTCCACTTTTGCTAAAGCAGATGTTTAAAAGCAGCTAAGATCAAGCACACCCCAAAGTCACCAATTCCTTTTTAATTATGAAAAAGATCCCGGGGTGATCTACATTAAATTCTAGAAATCTCCACTGTAAATGTCTCAGACAGGGTGAGAAGAATCCTGTCCTACCAATGCTCCCAGCAGTGAAAAAGATCCCGGGGTGATCTACATTAAATTCTAGAAATCTCCATTGTAAATGTCTCAGGGTGAGAAGAATCCTGTCCTTCCAATGCTCCCAGCAGCTCCTTTTAGCTTGTCACTGTATGAAACAAGATATTTGAAAGACAATTTACATTAATCTTAAAATAATAATGATGTTTGCACAAACTTCTCTGCTGTACACAACATATGCCAAACTACTCCACTAAGCTCATCCCACAGGTAGTAACATCTCACAACCATTTCATCCTTGACTGGATTAAAAGCCATGCAAGTACTTTTAGAGGCGTAAGCCAGTTTTACTACAGCTTTATAAGCTACAAGCTTTATCAATGATCAAGTATTTGAGCAGATATTTTTTCAAAGCACTTGTATAAACACTTAACAACAGAAACATCACAGGTACCTAAAAAGTTTTACTTGAATTTCAAAGAAGTAAGTTGATACTTGCTAGAGTAATAAAACCAGAACAGGTACAAAGAGTTGCAAGATGTGTATGTAGACTAAATATAGGGGGGAAAAAAGCCCAAAATGCGCAATGTATAGCAAATAAAGTAAAAAGACAATTACAACAGTGCACTTTTTAAGTAGAAAAAATAAGCAACATGTAAGATCTCCCTTCTCTTCCAGCCTGCTCTTTGTATTTGCTAGGATAGCATTTTGCCTGCATGCTTTTGCCAAGCTCATCTAAAAAGGAACCTAAGTTTCCAAATCTGGTAGCACATAAGAAAGCCTACAGATTTTACTGCTTTTTGGTGTTTGCAGGATTTTTACATGCTGTTCATTCAGTAGGCTGCACTAGAGTAGAAATTTTACCCTTCATGAGCCTTGAGGTCTTTCCTGATTTGTGAGTTCCTGTGCTGTCTTTTTTCTTATTATCTCTGTTGCAATTACCAAGGGGGTTCATTAAATACTGTTACATATGGCATTAGTCATCCTATATAACTAATTATAAATAATTGATTCATTAATGAACTTCTTTGAAATAAACAGGCAGCATCTAGCATTTAGAGACACTGTACATGTATTATTCATATGCCTTCATAAATAGCCAGTTACTTGCGTCCGAAACTGCAAAACATATTTGTGTGAAATGCAAAAGATGTTGCACAATGAAATATATTATTCAGTGGTT